TTTTGCATAAACTTTAAATAATTTAGGTTCGCTTTTAATTTAATAAATTTTAAATAAAATTATCAAATTATAAAAAATAAACAGTTTTTAAAATAAATGTATTTATAAATTGAAAAAGTATGATATTGTATATTTTTAATTTTTTATAGGTTAATGCCATCACATATTTAATTTAAAATAAGGGTAGATAATTTTTTAATTTACAAACAAAATAACTTTTTATACATTAAAAAGAAACAACAAAATAAATTAAGACAAAGATAAATAAGAAATAGAGATGTTTAGGAATAATAATTCTAAAGTGTTCATGCCTATTAGGTTATAATTAACTAAATGATTCACTTTATTTACTTTCCTAAAATAATACAGATAACAACACGATCAAAACAGATTCACTTAAAAGATTTATTGATTCATTGTGCATATAATTTTAAAGTGATTATTAAAAAAATAATATTTCTTCATGATATATTAATTAATAATTAAGGGCAGTATAATTTTTTTAACAGCATCAGTGTATTTTTATTAAACTATATCTTTAAATACTTTAAACATATAATATAATTTATATATTAATGTATTTTGTCTTGTTATAACCCATAAGAATCTCTACATTATTGCAAATAAATTAACGAGCAAATCTCTTAGTAATGCGGCCAGCACGTGGCATAGAATTGAGACAAAGGTGTTTTTATTTATAAATATCTTTAATTAAAGAAAATATTGTTGTTTTTTATATACTGTTATTTATTAATTTAAAACATTTTATTAAAATAAAAAATTATATTTAATATTATTAAGATGAAAATTTAATTTTAATAAAAAAATAAAAAATGTTAATATATTACATCAAAATTTTATCTTTAATTAAATCCATAAATTTGAATCTTCCGTACCTAAGACAAAATTGGTTGGTGAGTGCTGGTCAATTAAACTGAATAAAGAGTTCGTTTGTTGGTTATGACCGCCGCTCGTGGGATACAATAAGAGGACACACATTCAGTGAAAGGACTTTTTTATTATAGAAGAGAAGAATAAATTTTGATTATATAATTATATAAATAATAAACATTAAAAAATAGTTTATAATTATGTAATTATTTAAAATGTTACATATTTTAATTTTAATTATTTAGAAATAAATGTAATGATTCAAAAATATATTTTGTTCCTACATTAAATATTTATTTATACATGAGTAATTTCTATTATTTTTACTTTATTTAATAATTTTTATAAATATTAAATTTTATCAATTTAAATATTTAATGATATGCCATTAATATGTTGATCATGCATCTTTAATTTTTATTTATACAAATTATTATGAATTTATTCTATTATCTACTTAATAAGATACTTATACAAAATTATTAAGTGAAATAATAATGATAATAATTACTTTTAAAATAATATTTATACACACGTATCTTTAAAAACATTTTATGAATTTAAAAAATAAAAATAAAAAAGTATGATATAAATATGTTAATAGTATTTTAGTGAAATATTTTTTTTTAACTAGTACCATAAAAAAAAAATCCAACATCTTAGAGACAAACTTATAGGACCTAAATTTAAAAGGAACAAAAAAGTCATAGAGGTACCTATTATAAAAAGAACGTACATGGCGTATAATGCCACCAAAACTGATCACGTTAGATCCAGAGCCTGGTTCAATTGGATAAATAATTTAATTAAATATTTGATTAATAAAAATCCTTATAATGTAAAATGTATTCAATATTTTCTTCGATTGTGTTTATAAAATTTAATAATAATAAAATATTTAAAAATTTGTGAATGTTCATATGTTAACTAATAAAAATATTTTATAAAAAAATCGCAGGAGCAAGCTGAAAACCATTATAAAATTTAGAAATTATTTTTAGGATACGTTAGAAAAATCAATATAAAATAGTAGAAGTTGCAATGATTTTCTAAATATGTGTGCGAATTTGGACGATTTGAAGGAGGACTTTGCTGTTATCAATTATTGTGGTGTGACATGTTTCAAATGAATAAAATCAATGAACTGAGCACAGCAACGTACCGAAGATCGAGGGAACAAATCATGAATCTCTTTATTTAAAATTGGTATAATAACATTAAATATGACAATCAACGGCTACTCAACACGTGGACGTAGATAAAGATGTTGTCTTATCTTATCATAAATTTGAGTCTAGTGCTAGTTTATAATAATAACAATTAAATTTATTATTTTACTAAATTATTTTTTACATATTTTTATAATTAAAATTAATATATTTGTGTTATTATTTAATTATTTGTTTAAAATTCATATTTAAATTTTTTATTTAATTTTACTTTATTGACTTTTATCTTGGGATCAAGGTAGTCATCATGTTATAATAACATTAAATATCATTTAAATGTTGCAAGGAATTATATTTTTTTAAAAATTATTGAAATTGGTCAAAGTATTTTTCTAAACTATATTATAATTAACATATTCAAAATTATAATAATTTTGTTGATCAAATATCAATTTTAAACAAATTTAAAATGATTATTAAAATTGAACAAAAGTTCTGTTTAAATGTTGAGTTACTGCTGAGTGCTGACGTGTCAAAATTTGACATTATTTTTAATTAAAATAAGAGATTAAATTAGTCATTTTTTTACCATCTATTTTTGTTTCAAATGTGAAATATCCATGTTTTAACACGATTAACTAATTTTTTTTAAACTTCTAGTCATAATTAATGCAACTTTAGTACTAAAAATTTCGTTATATTTTCCTGGTACACACACATACAAAAACAAAAAAAAAAACAATTGAAGATGACATAATTCAAAAACTTTATCTCGGATTCTAAAATTAAAATAAAATAACGTTATAACAAAATGTTTAACTAAAAAACAAAAATGAAACTCAAAAAATATTTAAAAGACAAAATCTTTAATTTTTTTTTTATAAGTGATGAAAATTATTAAAAAATTATAAATATAACTCTCTAAATTAAAAAGTAAAGGTTGAGAAAAGAAGATAGTTAATATCCGTTCCCATCAATATCAAATTTACAATTTTTTGTTTATAACATTTACTTAATCCATGGCTACGGAAAGTTCAGATGAATGTGTTTTATTTTATTAAAAATGTTATATAATATATTTGTATCTTTACTATTTCATTATGCTTTGATTTGTATAATTTTAACAGCATTAAAAAAGTTATAATTTCACTAACTTTAAATTTAGTATTTTAGTTAAGTAAAAATTTCATTATGCTTTGAAGGGAGAAAAGTTAATGAAATTATTTTTATGAATCAACATCCTCTGGATTGGTGATGTTTTCATTTTATTACATTTATCGCTTGTTTGATTACGTGAATCATGCATGTTTCATATTTTATAATAGATTTTGATCAGTTATTAAATAATCATGATCTATTCTGCATGAAAATCGCAATGCAGCATACGGTATCGATAATTTTTTAATTTCACGAGAATCAATTGTTGATTTAATTAATACAGACAGGCATTTAATTTTTCCATTTTTGTTTGATGCAAAATAAAATTAACATTATTTATATAATTATTAACAAGTAATGATATATTCACAGTATTCTTGTTCTCAGTTGTGTTAGATATGCCCCAAGTACATTTATCCAAGTCAACGCTGGTCATGAATCACAGTGATAAAGCATATTCGAGTTATAAAATTGTGCTTAGAGCATAATTATTTGAGGTGATGACACGATCTAAAGTTGATTACGACTAATGCAAATGGGAGATTGTTGTGTCATTTTTTGCAATTAAATTTGGTCAACCTTTTTGAATTGTTATTTTTGAAGGAAAAGTGTGTATATAATTCATGGTAACTAGACCCACCCTGCATCTGCATGATGAGAAAGGCTAGGCTTTAATGTTAAGAATGTCTATTTCTACAGCGCTTATTGTTATTTTATTTAACTACATTTTTATAATTATATTAATAATTAAAATATGTTAAATAAAAGTAAATGTTCTTTTTAATATTTTATCGTTGCTTTGAATAACTGACTAAGGTTTGTGTTACGTTGAAATGCTATTTAAGGAAAACAAATAATTTATTAATTAAGTCTTTTTATCTTTAAAAGTGTGCATCGTTAATTTTTTTTATATAAAAACTCTAAATTTTAATTTTTATATTAACCAAAATTATCAAATTTCACCTAAATTTAGAAAACAAATTTATTTATTTATTCCTAAAATCCTAGTTTCATATATTATGAAAATTCTATTTCTTTTGGAAAATTCTTTTTTTATCAATAGTTGATTTTTTTTACTTTTAAAATTTTAAAATTATTTTATGCTATAATTTTATTACAAATTATTTAAATTTCAGAATAAAAATAAATAATTGAGAATTTTAAGTATAACAAATTAAAAGATAAATTTAAACAAATTTTTAAAAATAAACTTAATTAATCTTTTAAAAAATTAATTATTCAAAATTATATAAGGCCTAAACTAAAGAAGGTAAAAATACAATCAAACCTATTATATTTTTAAAAGTGTACTTGAATTTTTTTTTCAAAATAAATTAAAAAAGTTATAAATTTTTTTAAAAAAATTCAATTATTTTAAAAAGTGTCTCAATTAGCCATTTATTTAAAAAACATAATTTCGTTTACACTAAAAATTTAATTTCTAATCAAATTTAATAATATTAAAGGTATGTTTGTATTCTATTTTTAAAATTTTTTTAATTTTTTCTAAATATAATATAAATTTATACTATATTTAAAAAAAATTAAAAACTCTTTTTAAAAGAGAAATCAAACATATCATAATCGTATACTAAATATAATAAAATTAGGTTATTAGTGTAAGTTATTCGTCATATAAATTATTTGAAGAATATTAATATCAACATTTAGAAATAATTTTAAATATTAAAAATTAAATATCTATTATATTATAAAAATACCTATAATTTTTTAATAATTTCATTACTTTTAAATGCTTAAAAATTAATTTTAAGAAAAAAAAATGATGATTACTAAAATAAGAAAATACAAGAATGGGATAAGATATCAGAAAGGATCGGAATCGGAAATGGGGAGTTTGGCATGGAAGCAGCTTCTTCTCAACGCATTGGAATCCAATAGTCACCTCAAACACTCTTCTTTCATCAGCTTCGTATGTCACTCCCTCTTCTTTTCCCTTTTTTATTTATTATTTATTTTTATTTGTGTTTTTTACAGGCCACCGTAGGAACCAACGGAACACCTTCGAATCGCACTGTCGTTTTCAGGTTGACCCTTACACACTCACTCTTTTCGTTTTATGGAAAATTCACGACACTAAGTGTTCTGCGTTTTCAGAGGATTCCAAGACAACACTGATAACATCCAAATCCACACCGATGCCCGCACTCGCAAGGTTCCTCCCTTTTCAATCAAGTTTTCTAAACTTGAACTTTAGTCACTGGATTTTTGTTTCTTTAGAATTTAGTTGCTGGGAATTGGATTATGGTTTATAATATGCATTTTACTTGAATTTAGTTTATTAGCTTTTATGATGCTGCTTTTTTTTTTTTTTTTTTGGCTTTTATAGAAAAGAAAAAAAGTTATGTTATCTATATTCCATGATGTTGGCATGAATCGCAGCAAGAGTTGAGTTTGCGAACCACGGTTTTAATACCTGCTAAACAAGGCACCCACATTTAGGTTTAGTTGCGTAAACTTTTATATATAAGGACTTATACGACGAAAAAAGTAAAAAGTTAAAATGAATATAACTTTTCTCTGAAGTTAAAATTAATTTATGCACTTCAAATTTTGGAGAAGTCAAATAAAAAGTCTCTAAAAAAGTAGAAGAGCATAAATTGATTTTAACTTACGGAAAAAGTTTGATAAAATTTATCTAAATTGGTCCTTAGTCTCTGAGCATGATTGTCTCTTATGGAAGATACGTGTAGAAAATAAACAAAAGTAGTTTTGGCATGATTAGATTTTTATTGAAAAGTTACTTAGTTCGAAGTCTCTGTTGTTTTATCGGTAGTGCAGATTGAAGAGCTCAAGCTTTGCTCCTCTGCTGAGGTAATTATTTCGTGAGGTAAATTTCTTTTTAAACTGATAAGGGGCATAGGATTTGGGACTAAGTTTAGTGCTTGTGGTTAGATATGTTGGTATTTCACAGATTCCTGGGAGCAATTTCGGATAAATGGGAAAGTAGATATCATTGATGGGTCGAATCCTGATCCACTAAAACTTCAGGTTTGATTGGAGATTTTCAGTTATTTTTGAAATAACATCCTCTGAAGTTGTTAATAATTATTCACTTTGCCATCTGTCCATCGGATCAAGTGTGGTTTGTACATTCTGTATAACTGTTGCATGAGTTTCTGTGCAAAGTTTTGATGTGAAAAAGAAAAAAGCTTTCCAGATGAAGCAATTTTGCTCTTTACAATTATTTGCTTCTTTCACTCACTGAGAGAAGTGCAATAGCCTGTGATAGATGATTAAGCATTGTGCTTTATACTGAAGGATATAAGTATGTCAACCTTCTATGTAAAAAAAGCAATTTGAACTATTTCCAGTGATTTGAGGATAAGATGAGCTAAAGAAAAGGAAAGATCAAATTAAAATGGTAGTGAGAAATTGAAAGTAGCACATGACCAACTACTTCTAATTTCCCCCAGATATATATTAGGTGTATATATGAGAAATCTCATATAATTAATGGACTAAAAAACTATCAAAACTGCTTAAATCATAGCTACTTAGTACTTGTAGCTTATAGAGCACCCATATAGACTAGATGACACATCTGCTACCAAAATGCGACTTGGGTTTATACACTATCTGTATGAATGTGCACCCTGCAAAATCAAGGAGCATTTATTCTCTCAAAATTAGGGAAAGCTAAATGAAACTCTTAGGCCATGTTCAGTTTGGCTTTCGTATTTATGTTTTGAAATATTTTAAAACTAAGCTAATTTTCAGTTTTTTAATTTGTTTTTCTTTTGTGGTTTTTAATTTTCAAATCTGAATACCAAATTTTAATCCCAAACCTTCCAAATCAATCCCTCATCCTCATTTACTGATTCACTCACCTCTCTCTCTTCCTTTGAAAACAGATTTCTTTATATTTCATTGATTTCCCAACTTTTATTTTTAAAAGGATAGGGGGCAGTAATTGTGATGGTGGCAATAATATGTGTGATTTTTAGGAGATATGGGGGAAGTGAGTAATTTGGTTTTATAACTAAAAACCAAAATATTTTTTTTTTAATAAAAGGTGTTAGAAATATTTCATAATTGAGTTAAATACCAATTTAGTTCCATTTTAGCTGAACATGTTTTGTTTTAAAATTTAAATTTGAAAACCAAAAAATTGTAAACTCACAACAATTCTAAGCATGCCTTTAAAGAAACTGCTTTTGGTTTTTTCATTCCAATCCTACATAAATATTTTACCAGCTTGTATAACAAATCTTTCCTATTTTTTAATTTAGATGAATTGCTATAATATTCCCCTTGCTTTATGAATTCATAATGCAGCAAAGAGAAAATTCCTGGTTTGCCAGTTCGCTGAGATCAAGGTCGCAATATTTGTGGCCCAACCCTGGACTTCCCTGTCTAAATGAGCAAGCACAGCCAGAAATATCGTTAGATCCTTCTACAGGTCCAGTTGATGCTTTTTGTCTACTGATCCTAGAACCTAATCAGGTAGTGATATCTCTAACAGTCTAACAGTAATACATGCCTTTGTGCTTCAACATGTCCACTTTTGTTTCATCCATTTACAGGTTGATTACTTGAATCTGAAGAGTAACCAGAGGCTCACATTCAAATCAAGTGTGAGTGATGCAGCAAACAAAAATTGGGTTGTGGAGAGGGTCAACCCATAATCTGTTCTCTATCATTGTCATGTTCACATTTCACTGCAAACAACAATTTGCATGTTCTGAGAGTATTTGAGAGGGGATTGACTGGAAACATGCTCGTAGAATTTTCATTTTACAATGGTCCCCAGATTAGCTTTGATGCTGCCCCTTGAAGGTTGTGCTTGCTCAATAATAACCTAGTAAAATTGGATGTGAATTAGCTTCAAGTGTTATCTATGTGGACACCTCCCGGGGAATTAGTATAGAGGTGGAACCTTGGACGAGAACTGGAGTCACTATTTATGAAATGGAGTCTCTATTTATCACTTTATCTTCGAATAACACTATATTTTAGTTTATTTCAGAACTCTGATCGATTAGCAGATATAAATCAAACTATAGGGAAAGAAATTTGCAGTTGCATGTTTAGTTCAACTTATTTTAGAGTAATAATCACTTATTTTGCCAGCTTTTTGAGAGTGTTTGAAAAATAAGTGATTATTTCTCCAAATTAATCTTTAACAAACATGCTTGTCATTTTGATTCTTTACATCCATAATTTTTTGCTTTTAAAAGAAATACCAATGCCACATTTTACAGCTACTGACTTGGAGCTAAAAAATGCTTGAACAGGAAAAAGATCTCGTAATCATCTGTTAGTACTATTTGTTATGCTCCAATGGTAGTCTTAACATTGTGGCAGATCTGATGGAGGATGTGGTAAGGACTCCAGCTCTCCTTTTCCATTGTTCACTATAAATACCATTCCTAGTCCCCATGACTGGTGTATATCAATATGGCAATGCATATACCACACCCCTGCAAAAAAAGAAAAGAAAAAAAGAAGGTCAATGTTATGGATGGTAAGAAATCAATAATTCCTTGCTGTTTAAATAGAATAACAGAGAAAAGAAAGACATCATTAAGGTTTATACCAGGATTATCCGCAATAAAGCGAATTGCTGCCCAGCCACCCACTGGAACTCCAATTGTGTTCATGTATGGAGGATCCACGAAGTTGAATTGTGCAGTTAGTGGGTTATAGTTGCCTGTGCCATACCCTACAACATAAAAGCTGTGTCCATGGAAGTGCATTGGGTGGTTTTCAATGTTGACTGTCCCTGTGTCCTGCAGAATGAGTTGCACCCTGCTACCATATTCAAGGACCTTTGTTCTTGTCCCATTCAATGATTGTGTATCATATGGAATGTTATTAGGGGCACCATTAACAAAGTCATACAACTTGGGGGGTGTGTCAGGAAAATCTTCAGTATATGATCCTTTTATCTTCTTATAATATGCTTCCAGGATTGAAATATTGGGATGAACGAAACTTATATTGTTCATTGAAGCTGCTAGCACCCCATTGTGCATGGCTTTGCAGTTTTCCTTTGGTGTCTTTGAATGACACTTTTGAACATTCAATCCAATGGTGATGAATAGGTTGTTATCAATTTCTTTAAAAACATTCACTTTGTTTAGGCTCCTTAATCCATCCATGACTGTCTTAACAGCCAGTTTATCATCTAGTCTAGGTAATTTAGCTGGTAAATATAAGCTATTAGATGCAGCTCCAACATAGTTGAAGCTTGCAATGGCTGAGACGTTTTGATATTTGACAATCCTGCCAGACTTGTATGGTGCCACAGCCATGGAGTATTTTCCTAGTGGTTGATCAGCAAAGACAAGGACATTCAGTGTTTGGCCTGGTCCAATCATCACAGTGTCTGTGGTGAATGGTTTTGTGTATTCAGCATCAGCTTCTACGATTGTTAATTTGTGATTAGCAATGGCAAAGAAGTTCTCTGTGTTTAAACCTGCATTAATCAGTCTCAACAAATAGGTCTTCCCCGGAATCACATCGATTTGATAGATATCTGAAATGATGAGGAAAGAAATGTGTAAAAGAAAAGGAAAGGCAGAAAATTTAGATTACAACAGTTGTTAGACTGGTTTAGGAGACCTGCGCTTTTGTGTGTATATTGTCATAACTCATAATGTCAATAAAGGTCAGTGAAAGAAAATGGCCATCATCCACCACTTAATCCAAATTATTTTGTATAAAATTAATCTAATTGAAACATCTTTAGACTAAGACAATTTTGAGCAATACAAAAAAAATTCAATCACCGTTATCTCAATTACTTTGTTAGTTGTTATCTTGTGTTATCTCAAATACCATTAGTGGAGCAGTTGTAGTTGGGCCCCGGATGACCATTAATGATATATGCATCAGCTGTAGGAGGAGCACCTCCACTTGCCAGAGTGGCATGTTCAATTTGTTGGAGATCTTGCAACCAATACTCCCCTGGCAATAATTCAAATCAACCCCCCAACAATAGCATTTTTATATGGCAAACTTACAACATTGTAAAACTCTGAAATCAAAACCAAAAAGAGCCACAAAGTTACCTAGTATGATTATGTGCTCCTGATAGGGAATCTTAAATGGGTAAGGTACACCGGTCTTTGGATAAACAATCATGGCACCATAAACTGTTCCTCTTAACCAAGAAACATGAGCATGCCAGAAGAAGGTACCCTTTTGCTTCACCACTGAAAAATTATAGGTGAAAATCTGGCCTGCTTGAATTGGACACTGTGTAATAAAGGATGGCCCATCATACCAGCATGATAGCCTTTGCCGGACACCATGCCTAAAATTAAAATTCAAGTTTGTTAGCTACAATAATATCTTATTTAAGTGAACTATTTTATGCATGAGGATGTAATTGTGATTACCAGTGAATTGTAACATTGAAAGGTGTCTTATTGGTGACTTTAACTATGATTCTATCATCTTCTTGGGCATAAACAACAGGTCCTGGAAACATACCATTAACTGTCACAATGTCTTTGGAGTTGCAAAGTTTGGTTATTCTTCTAGTTTGAACCTGTACATAAACCATTAAGAGCATCAACAAATAGAGAAAAAGCCATTGGAATGCATTGCACTCCACTTGAAAGTAAAATAAGGAATCATAATAATGCACACTTTGAGAATAAATCATACCTTGAAATCATAGAACCTGGTTGATTCTCCCTTGGTACTTGCATGTGCCACAAGTTTCACATTGTAGAGAGTAGATATAATACTCAACCACAGCATAAACGAAGTGGTTAAGTTGGTCATTTTCAAAGGGTGTGAATAGAGGTGGATGCTTGAGGTAGAATGAAAGGAATGGCCTTTTAAAAGAGAGTGAGTGTCTTTTGTTGGATTTATTTTATTAGAGGAAAGTGGAAAAAAGGCTATGCAGGTTGTATTCTATTTGTCAGCTTTCATGATTCCTCTAGCGTGAATTGGTGATAATAAGGTGTTGGGAAGTGATTATTCAACATGACCACAATGGTAGGGAAGGATTTCCCTTTTATCCCCCTTCTCTATTTTTATCCATTATCTTCATTCCTGCCAAACATTTTCTGTTACAAATCATACCATTGACTGAGAGTTGAGGCCACACATGCCTCTAAACATGATCTATATTAAACCCCACCACAATCAGCCACCTTCCTTTCTATTCTACTTATTTTCCATAAATTTAAATGCTTCTACTCGTTTTTTTTTTACTAAGAGTAACATGTTCTAATCAAGTTGATTCTTAATATTGAAAGCCATATGGTAAAAAAGTACAAAGCAGCACTCAGCTATCACTAGTAATTCAACAAGAAGTCATCAATAGCAACTAATTATATTCCATTATTTGGGGTCCGCTATATGAATTAACTAATGTTATTGGGTTCTATTTAAGACCAAATTAATTTCCAATAAAACAATTCAGTGTATAGTCTAATGCCCGCAATGGTTTTCTTTTCATATAATAATCGAACTAATTTATTAGTACAGTAATAAAGCAACCAGATTTTTAAGAGTTGAAAAATAAAGCTATGAAAAGACAAAGATTTGGACAACTCAAAACATTCATTTTCACTTTGTATTTGAGGGAAAAGGTGGGTTACTTTGTTTTGCTTTTATTAGACATCTTCCTCTTATCAATCATAAGCAAAGTTGATGCACGCCTTCACATCCCTAGACCACCATTATTGGAATAAATTATAACACAACCTACGTTACAATTAATTTATAAATATCTATTTTTATAACTAAAGCATTCCAAACATCTTTCTGGTTGACTTGCCTAACAGGGTGCGCTTCGATTGGTCATCATGCCTGCAATTCATGTGTTTTGCATGGTACTTTTTCCAAACAATTCATTTGGAAATAAAACATTCGAACACTAATGTCATTATGGGTAAATTGTATATACATTCTTCGTGCAATTTGCTGTAGATCCATCGAATTAACATATTGATCATCTCACATGAACGTAATTAACCCAATTAATGACCACAATAATTGAAAATGTAACTAAAGTTATCGATTAGATTTTTTGGACAATCTAAATTACAGTTTGACCATTTATAATGAAGGAGAATACTAATAAATGTCTTTAAGGTACACTAATCAAGAAATCAAAAAGTATAAAATTTTCATAAAAAATATATTACAAATCCACTCTCGTAATATTTTTAATATATATATATTTTTAAATTATTAGTATAAGTATGTAAGTTCAATTTTATAGCTTAATTACTGTCACCTTTGCCATGTTTACATACAAGAGATAATCTAACCTTGATCCTAAACTTGGCAAATTGGGTTTTCCTTAAGTATAATTTTTTATTTGCCATGTCTACTCATATGAATTTTCCCTAATAATAAAATATACACTAAAAAGTATATGATAGAAACATATTATTATTAACATTTTTTTAGGTAATGAGTATGACTTTTTATCTCATGTCTATTTGTATGAATTTAACCTAATAATAAACATTATGTTTATAAGAATGTATTAAAACTACATATTATTACTAACATTTCTTTGTAATATAAGTAGTGAGTATGATTTTTTCTATCATGTCTACATGCATGAATTACACTTAACATAAAAAATATATTTGAAAAAAGTGTTCAAAATTAACATTTTTTTAAAGTACGTATCATTGGTCACTCAAAATACGCGTAAAGCAACTTGCCCACCTCACTTAGAATTAAGTACACTTGATATATGTTATGATGCTAATTATACCAAATCAAATAGCCCTTGAGCTGAAACTATAATGACCCAAGTGTAGAAGGTGTCAAAAAATGGCGTTCTTTGAGAGGCAACTGAAGGACACAGACATATATATGCTAACTAGCTAAGCCAGGATGGAGCAACCAGATGATTGTGTCTCATGCATGCCATTATACACACAGTAACTTCTGAAACACGCTTCTTCCCAGCGTGTGGTGTTGTCAGTGCCCACACTGCTTAATATAAATTGATCTCTCATAAACAGTAGTGGTTTGATTCCTCCCATAACTTCATGCATCTTCTCACGTCACAACCTTTTAA